ATAATCCCCTCCCTCCCACCCCAATCCCCAGCATGGCAGCGAGCCCCCCAGCCCCACGTCCGAGGCTACAGGCTATAGAACTTCAGGCTCCGGTCCATGCCCGTTGAGGCAATGAACTTGGCGTGGTGGCCAAAAGCCACTCCTGTGGTGAGGCCGCTGTGCTCTGGGGAAGGAAAAGAACCCGTGGTTATGGCACCGAGTGGAGTTAACCCCCACCCAGGGGGGCAGAGCCCAGCCATCTCTGTGCCAAGGAAGCCGACAGCTGGGGCTGGGCAGCCATGGGGGGGTCTTGGCACAGACAGAGGTGCTGATGGGGTGGGGTAGTGTTTTGCACCCCACAGCTCGTGCTGCCGATCTAAGGGAACAATTCTTCACCCCAGAGGGGACCTAAACAGTTCCCCACTCCCGCCTCTGCCCTGCCCCAGCCGCCCTCAGTCCCAGCCCCTCACCTGTGAAGTGGAGGATTTCTGTCCACTGCTTGCAGATGTAGATCTGGACGTCGGTCCCACCCAGGGCCAAGTACGTGCCGCTCTGGTCAAAGATGAGTGACTTGACCTGTGGAGGAGAAGGGGAATGAGGCTTCAAACCAGGCCCAGGAAGCTCCAAACGGCTTCTCTGGGCGCAGCACAGAATCCCAGAATCATCTGGGTTGGAAAAGCCCTTGAAGCTCCTCCAGTCCAACCATGACCCTCACCCTGACCATTCCCAACTCCACCAGATCCCTCAGCGCTGGGTCAACCCAACTCTTCAACCCCTCCAGGGATGGGGACTCCCTCCCTGCCCTGGGCAGCCCATTCCAACGCCCAACAGCCCCTTCTGCAAAGAAATCCTTCCTCAGAGCCAGCCTGACCCTGCTCTGGCGCAGCTTAAGGCCATTCCCTCTTGTCCTGGTGCTTGTTCCTTGGTTCAAGAGACTCATCCCCCCTCTCTGCACCCTCCTGTCAGGGAGCTGTAGAGGGCCATGAGGTTTCCCCTCAGCCTCCTCTTCTCCAGACTAAACCCCCCCAGTTCCCTCAGCCACTCCCCACAGTCACACACCTCAAAGTTATTGTCCAGTTGCAACGTCTTGAAGTTCTTGAGTTTACGCAAGTCCCAGAGCTTGACAGAGGAGTCGTCCGCTGCCGTGGCCAGGTAGTAGCCGTTCTCGGAGAAGGCAATGCTGGTGATGGGGCCCGAGTGCCCTGGGAAGTTGGCCACGTTGGTGCGTTCCTGGGGATAGGGAGTTAGAGACAGGCTGCCAGCAGGGAACCACAACACCCTCACGGTCGGGAGCTCAGAGAGCAGCTCCTTGCAACCACAGCCCAGCTCCATGTCATCAGTCCACTTCAGAGTTAAAAAGCAGTGGGGGGCAGACAGCAGACTCTTTGTTGCCCCAAACTACAGCTCGACAGGCTGATGTGGGGCTCTAGAGGCAACTGGCCGACAGCCAGAACTGCAGCGTGACACTAACATGGGGTTGCACTGACAAATTCAGAGCCATGGGTCTGAGCAAGGTCCCAGCACATCCAGCACAGACTCAGCCTGTAACAGAGCCCTGCAACCCCTCCTGCACACCACCGATTCTCCTGGGCACTCAGCAAAGACCTTTATCACAAGACAACCCCCAATCGCCAAAAGCAGCCGTTCTTGAGCTGAAGCTTTGTATTTTTTGAGAAAAACCCCAGAGGGGATTCCCCAAAGCTCTGCAGGCTCCAGCAGACACTGGGCCTCAAAGTGAACTCAATGCTGGGCCCCAAACCAAGCACACTCCCAACAGCCTGCCCCTCCCTGAACCCCCAACACCAGCCCTACCTTCAGATCCCAGATCTTGATCTGAGAATCCATCGTCCCTGTTCCAAAAATAAGCCCGTCTGGGTGGAACTGGGCACAGGTAAGAGCTGCAGAGACACAGGGAGAGATTCAGAAGGTTGGGGGAGACTTTCTAACTGTCAGCAGCCCCCCTCTGTGTTCTTGTGATCTCCAAGAGCCCAGGGACCCACAGACAGAAAAATTCCTTCTCCCCAGACTTGGAACAGCCCCCCTGGGGTGGGGATTCTCAGCTTACCACAGCCAGAGCTCTCATCCGTCACCTTGGTGAGGACACGGCCTGTCTGGATATCCGAGAAAGCCCAGTACTGAAAGAGAAGAGCAGTGCGTTGAATTTGGAGAGAAGAGAAGCAGGAGGGGTAGCTTGTAGCCTGGGGCTGGGTCTCACCTGGTCATCAGAGGAGCTGAGGAGATAATCGCCCGTCGCATGAAGGCTCAGCCCTGTCACGGAGCCCTCATGGGCACGGACGACCTGCACGCATGAGGCGTTGGGCACAGACCAGATCCGGATAGTAGCATCGGGAGAAGCTGAGAACACCAAATCCTAGACAGGGGTGAGGTAAGTTAACATCGGGAAAAAAAACTTCGCTGCTTCATCATCCAGAGCTCCCCACAAGCAAGAACTGGCCCCACTGGAACAGAGCACCAGAAAAGGGCCCAGAAAACCCAATCTGGGGCAGCCTGGCTGTGATGGAAGAGGCTGAATGTGGGTCTGAGCGCACCTGAGATGGGTGGAAAACAACACTGGTAACCTTCTTGGAGTGTCCCTTGAGTGTCGCCAGGATCTGCTCCGAGCTCTTGTCAAAGACGATGACATTTTTATCAGCCCCGCCTGGAAAACAAAGCCAGGAGCAATGAGAGATGGGAGCCTGTGGCCAACCAAGTCCAAGCCCACCCACTTTTTTTGGGGACCACCATCCTGAGGAGCTTCCACAGAATCCTAGAATCATCTGGGTTGGAAAAGCCCTTGAAGCTCCTCCAGTCCAACCATGACCCTCACACTGACCGTTCCCAACTCCACCAGATCCCTCAGCGCTGGGTCAACCCGATTCTTCAACCCCTCCAGGGATGAGGACTCCCCCCCTGCCCTGGGCAGCCCATTTCAATGCCCAACAGCCCCTTCTGCAAAGAAATCCTTCCTCAGAGCCAGCCTGACCCTGCCCTGGTGCAGCTTGAGGCCATTCCCTCGTCCTGTCGCTTGTTCCTTGTTTCAAGAGACTCATCCCCCCTCTCTGCACCCTCCTGTTAGGGAGCTCTAGAGGGCCATGATGTCTCCCCTCAGCCTCCTCTTCTCCAGACTAAACGCCCCCAGTTCCCTCAGCCACTCCCCAGCAGACCTGTGCTTCAGACCCTGCACCAGCTTCGCTGCCCTTCTCTGAACACGCTCGAGTCATTCAATGGCCTTTTTGGAGTGAGAGGATCCCTCATGCCCCTCGCCCTACCTCTATCCCCCAAAAGCACAGAGAAAGGGACCTGCTCTCAGGCAGCCACAGGCTCATGGCTGCACCACGCAGTCCCCAGTGAGTGGAGGAAGCTGCCTTACCGGTGAGGATCTTGTTGGTGTCGGAAGGACAGAGGTCCAAGGCAAGGATCCCTGGAATGCTGGCACTGTGCAGCCCCTGTGTGAGGTAGGAGGATGCCAGATTAATGCCCCAAACAAGAAAAATGCTCCCAAAGAGAATTGAGAAGCCCTAGAGGGAGCCCAGGGTGTTTCATTCCAACAGCAGGAGTCAGATGTGGCCACATCTCCTCCAGCCCAGGTGTCTGCTGGCTGTGGCAGTCAGGATCCTCTCCATGCTCTGCCCAGCAGCAGATCTGTCTCTTACTGATGCTACAAACCAGCACAGGAGAGGCCCAGATGTCCAACTGTGTGTGTTTTGAGCCCCAACCTGCATCCTGGCACTCACCACGTGTGAGGCGACCTGCCGGTACTTGCTGAGCTCCTCTGGCTTCACCAGCTCCTCTGGAACCGTCTTCCCTCTCTGCAAAAGGAAAACGGTGTGGAGATGAAACATTGGCCTCTCTTGGGATATGGCACGTCCTGGCTGCTGAGGCATCTTCGGAGTGAAATGGGGCCACTTACCTTCTTACGCTCCGTGGTCAGCACCGTGGCCTTGTCTTGAAGCTGTAAAACAAAAGGGTGGTCACAGACTAAGCGGGGCTCCCACGGGGGAACACTGGGGAACAGCCACCACTGGAGGCTGTAGCAGAGTAAATGGAAGATCTGTCACCTTCTGAATGATCTCGGGGGTCATGCCTGCGAGTTCTCCCAGATCCATGGACTCGCCAGCACCCTGCATGGGACAGAGAAAGGAGCTGGTTACACTCAGAGGAAGAACACAGGGAAAAGGAGAGGAGGTTGGCATTGGGGGATCATGGGGAAAAGCACCAAAAGAGGCAGTTGGGGACTCACCGCCACATTTGGCTGGGAGGATGGCACTGTCTGCGGCACGATGAGGCCGGCTTGTGGCTTCAGAGTGGCCAAAGCTGTAGAGACAGAGAAAGGCTGTGAGTTTAATAAGCACTCGAAGAGGAAAGGAGATGGCATCCGGCATAGCCATCGCTACTTGCTGCTGGGCCACACGCTCCCCACCTCCCTGAGGCCCAGAGCCCACAGAATCCCAGAATCATCGAGGCTGAAAAAGACCATGAAGATCCTCGTCCAAACAGGAACCTCACTCTGACCCTTCTCAACTCCACCAGATCCCTCAGCACTGGGTCAACCCGATTCTTCAACCCCTCCAGGGATGGGGACTCCCCCCCTGCCCTGGGCAGCCCATTCCAACGCCCAACAGCCCCTTCTGCAAAGAAATCCTTCCTCAGAGCCAGCCTGACCCTGCCCTGGCACAGCTTGAGGCCATTCCCTCTTGTTCCTTGTTTCAAGAGACTCATCCCCCCTCTCTGCACCCTCCTGTCAGGGAGCTGTAGAGGGCCATGAGGTCTCCCCTCAGCCTCCTCTTCTCCAGACTAAACGCCCCCAGTTCCCTCAGCTGCTCCCCAGCAGACCTGTGCTCCAGACCCTGCACCAGCTCCGTTGCCCTTCTCTGGACACGCTCGAGTCATTCAATGGCCTTTTTGGGGTGAGGGGCCCAAAACTGAACCCAGTCATCGAGGGGCGGCCTCACCAGTGCCGAGCACAGGGGTAAGATCCCTTCCCTGTCCCTGCTGGTCACGCTATTGCTGATACAAGCCAGGATAACACTGGCCTTCTGGGCACACTGCTGGCTCCTGTTCAGCTGGCTGTCAATCAACACCTCCAGGTCCCTCTCTGACTGGCAGCTTCCAGCCACTCCTCCCCAGGCCTGTAGCGCTGCTGGGGGTTGTTTAGGCCGAGGTGCAGCACCCGGCATTTGGCCTTAGTGAAACTCCTCCAGTTGGCCTCAGCCCATGGCTGCAGCCTGCCCAGATCTCTCTGTAGAGTCCCCACCCCACGGCACCTTCTCTGGCAGCTGTGACCTCCTTAGTGAGACGAGCAATGACACGGCAGGCGGCATCGTGCTGGTAGAGCGCGTGGGACAGCTCCTGACGTGTGGTCTGCAGCTGCTGGCGAAGGGTGAAGCTGTGCAGCATGACTGCGTCCTAGAGGGACAAGGCAGAATCAGGCAAGGAAAGAAATTCATTAGCCAGCGCTCAGCTCCCTGCCCAGCTGTGACCCCAGCACTTACCCATTCATCCTGGAGGGCTTTCAGGATGGCCGGGATGCTTGTGGCAGATGGAGGCTTGGGCCGGATCGGGTGGGCAACTGTCAATGAGACAGTGTGAGCAATCAACCACATCCCCAACACTTGGTCAATCCCTTCAGACAGTCACCCTGCTGTCTCGGCAACCCCCAGCACCCCAATCCCTGCAGCTCGGCTCTGCCACTGAGCTGATGGTTTGCCTCCGGGCTACTGGGGAGAGAGCATCACTCACCAACCCCTTGAGAAATCCTCTCTCAGGGTGTCAGCACCCCTCCGGAGACTTACAGCTCCCCCCCCAGACTGGAGAGTGGCCAAGTTTGGCACCTGCCCAGGGTGTCACCCCACTTTCTCCACCATCGCTGCTTCTCCTCCAAACCTCTTCTTCCACCCCTTACCCTGCACTGTCACCCCCATTAATAAATCCACCCAAAACACCTTGCGCACCCCCGTCCTGCACCCCCACCCATGACACGGCAAAGTCCCCCGGTGCTTTGCCGGGGGTGATGGGGAGCGGGCACCATTCCCTCGCCCCCCAGCTACCTTTGATGTCGATGAGCTGCTCCTCAGAGAGGGGCTGGTTGTTAACGGGGTCGGTGCCGTTTTCCGCGATGTATTTCTCGATCAGCCGCCGCTCGTAGACGTGGTTGGACACCGGAGAGACGCAGGGGTGCTCGGGCACCTCGTTGGAAACTACGGAGGGGAGCGGCCGTTACGGCACCGCCGAGGGTCTGGCGGGCCGCCGCCGTCCCGCTGAGCACCCGGTAACCCCCCACAGCCCGGTAACCCCCTCCCCGCGGGGCCTTCCCGGAGGCCGCCGGCCTTCCGCACTCACTGGAGCAGATGAGGGCCATGGCGGACGCCGAGCGGCCGCAAC